TTATAATTTCTACTTCAAAACAAACAAAATAAATAAGCAAAATGGCGGATTGTGTCAGCGCTACTGAAGTAGCAATCGTGTCCTGGCCGAAAACTATTTTAGCGCTTGTAAGCGCTAGCTAGCGCTTTTTTCTGCCAAACGCGCCCATTATTTACTGTTTAGGTATTTATTGTGCATTACATGACATTTTTATTTTTTATAATTTTTTATTTGATATGTAATCTGTCGCATTACAAGGCACTTTTTTTTAAAAAGTTTCGGACTATCAGGAGGTTGTAGCAGTACCACATGAGTCTTACCCATTACTCTGTGGAAGTACTCTACAGTCCGACAAATTCGACACCGCCTTAAAACCCGCAAAACGTTTGTCGGATTACCGCGGGTTTGCTGTATTCTGAGCGTGAGCGTGGTCTATCCGCGCATGCAGAGCGTGGTTACAATACGTGAAATTTTATATTTTTTTAATTAATTTAAAGTGTTATCTAATATATTATATTCAATAAAGACAGTAGGTACATAGTAAAACTAAAAATTAATTATATTGCATATAACATGTTACAAAAACTCTGCCATAACTTAAATTATAATGCCTATTTTGTTTGAGCTCTATTGTGAATGAATTACGTTTATCAGAAGAGAGATTTAAGCCACGAAGTGGAAAGGTCTTAAGAAGTGATTAATCACCATTATCTAGACAAGTATCAGTTGTTTTGAGATTTTCATGGATTTAGCAGATTAAATTTTTATCCCTTAGTTCAGAAGCATCTTAAACTAAGAACCTCGAAATCTGGCGTTTTTAACGTCAAAGTAAGCCAGGTTACATTAATCTCGATATTGCTAGTAAAACGGCAGACTGATTTTCAAACGAAAATTTTTACCTTTAATACATTTCTTTTTTCAAATTATTTGAACTAAAGACTCGATGATTTTTCTTACCCTTACTAATAAATAACATTGAAATTCAGATACTTTTTATCTCTTACACGTAACCCTCATAATAGGAATTTATCCTGTAAAGTGCAGGCGTCTTACATACATAAATTGCTCGCAGACAAGTAAATACACCACACACGATACATTTATCTGTAGGCCATACAACCATACAACACTTTCGAGTGCAATTTAAACCAAACGCTATGTCACTTCGCTGACAAGCCGTTTTTTTTAAAGATATAACCACCTGATAGTAAGAAATACATCAAAAACATTGATTCAAAATTTTACAGACTGGCAATTGTAAGCAGCATAATTACCTCTGCACATTTCTCCTTGCTTATCAAGTAAGATTTTTTAATATATAAAATTAAACTGACAAACGAACTTTTAGTTTGATGGTAAGTGTACTGTATTTACCGCGCGCAGAAAGTTTGTCGGTGACGTCATGTGTCGATGGTTAGTACGGTTGACAAAAATATATGTTACTAAAATAATGGTTGAAAATGCAATAAATCAAGAAAGAAAAAAATATTAAACCCATAGGAGTTATATGGACGTTAAACAAGATTTTCGTCTTGGCTTTATTCTTAAAACTAAACTATTGGGACACACTTTTAAGGTCGCTGAGCACAGTACTAAGATCCAGTGAACATTTATTTGGACTAAAAAGAAGATAATTTCACAAAAAAATACTTCGATAAGTGACCAAAATGTTTGAAAGAAATACAATATTTAATAACAATATATTATAGACTAGCTTGGAACGTCTCTGCGTGATAGGATTCGTATAACAACAAAATTCACAGCGCATGTAATCATTTTTATCTGAATATATATTATAATGAAATTACTTTTATGGATTTCATCGCGTTTAATTTTAACTTTTTTATTCTCGAAAACCTGTAAATGTTTATCCCACCACGACGCTCGAGTAAATCCCCATTTAACATCGTGGGATCCCCTACTATAAAGACTATATTGTTGGCAAAGGTATTTGACGTATCCGTCGTTGCTGTTGATACCGTACCTATCTATAATCTCGAAATGATAACTATCATCACGCAGTGATATTTCTTTGCTTTCAGAAATCAATTTGTAATGTTGTTGAAACTTTTTTTTTTTTTTGTAAAAATATTAGTAATCTTATTAATTAACAATACTAATATTCCTTTTAACCACTCCTGGTAAGCTTTATTTAAAAAAAGAAAAGTCAAATTAGAGATATTTAGAGATACGCAAAAATACATGCAAATATAAATAAACAGGAAAATATCATTAACTATCTTAGATATCTCTGTCGATAAGTGCTTAGATTTTCTATAATAAAAACTTTGAGAACTTTGTTACGAAAAATCTGCTTAGATGATATGACATAACCACTATATTATCATAAGATTTAAATTTCAACAATCCTATTTATTTTTACCGTTGAGTATTAACTCTACCGTTGCCGTAACCGTTACAGCCTACTAAAGTCCACTGCTGAATCTATAGATTAAAGCCTATCTTATAGATTGCCTCACAGGGTATATTTTCCATAGATGCCATGCTAGGCAAGCGGGATGACGACCACATTTTTTTATTTTTAACCGTCATTAGGACGATGCTGTTGCCTATTTCCTGTATCAGTTTCCCTCTGGCGCTTGTTGCGACACCCACGGGGATGATATGGGGTAGTGGACATTCCTATACCCCTACTACACGATCACAGTAATAAGTATTAATAAACCTCTGTTGGTTAAAAAAAATCACATACACCTTGATTGTGACACAAGTGGTAAAGTCAAAAAAAACATGTGCAGCCGCCTTCAATATAAATAAAATGAGAACACCTTAATGTACTCTAAGTCAATTAAATACGCATTTTTAAGGATAACCCGAAAACTACAGATTAAATCTTGATCAAATATATATGGGACCATATGGGAAATAACCTTCACCTAGAAGGTTAGTTCACCTAGAAAAAGGTTCTGAGGTCCACATAAAAATGCCAATTGGGTACCTCTTCCATTTTTTGAAGTCTATTAAAAAGCTAACCCTTGTATTCTCAATTTCACGGACAGTTTTTACACAACAATATAATTTAAAAAATCTGCACTGTAACGAAACTAAAAAATTTATACTCCCAACTTTAAATTCCAAGTAATATCTAGGAATTACGATTTATTTGTAACACACTCTTTGCTTGAAACGAATGAGCCATTCGTTTCAAGCAAAGAGTGTGTTACAAATAACAAATATTTATAATGTATTGTAAGCGACAGCAGTTCAATCGTCAAAGTTGTTTTTTTATAATTTTTTTATAGAATAGACGTGACAAACGAGCACACAGTCCACCTGATGGTAAGTGGTTGCTGTGGTCAATTGACATCTACATCTATCCTCGATTACGTATAAAAATGCAGATACGTGAGGACTAAGATGAAATGCCTCGTTTCCAGCAAAAAGGGTCTCGAGTTCTCTACACTCCCCATACGAAGCACAGTACAAGTATAGCATTGAGCTGCTATTTGACGCTGGTATTCTGTGCTCGTCTCTTCCCCGGTCGAGCCGACTCATTGGTACTACAGCTAATATAGTAGCAGCGTGACTCTACCACGTATAAAATGTATGGACTTTGAACATAAAGGTCGTGAATTCTAATCCACCTTTCGGCTACTGTCGTGAATCACAAGCATTTAAAGCATAACTGGAATGGTTAACAGTAACATTAGTGATGATAATAGCACTGTTAGTATTCCTTAAAAAATAATTATTGACATTAAAAGTCCTTTTTAATCCACTGCTGGATATAAAGAATATAAAAGGAATCACTGACTGACCCACGTTTCTTGAAAAACTGTGTATACCGCAACTTACTATACCGGACAAAATATTTAAGGCAGTGTCTTACACAAAGTTACACCCCGTTCCCAATGGCTCTCATTTTCCAATAGATATTATTATATATTTTCGTTGCCATAGTGTCTTTCATTAGTTAACATGGGGCACTGCATACAGTTGGGATGAAATAACAAAAAGATCGGTTAAGTTAGTGGAACAGGTGCACTTGGTGAACTTAAAAATAAACAAGGTTTTTAAAATTCCATCAACAAAAGTGTTTTCCCAAATTATTAATCTATTTTCCTCTCAAATAAAAAACATGAAAATGTTTTAAAAATTCGTTTTAAGGTAGAGACCGATTTTAGGTTAAAGAAAATTCCTTACTCATTTTAGCTAAACATCCTTCAAATCGGAAAACCATGTCGCACCGATGACTATTTTAAACAAAACTAGAACAAACTTAGTCAATAAGATAATGTCTTCCTTATCGGCACTATTTGCACCTGCGTCGCATTTTAGACACTTTTCACGCACTTCATGTGTCCTTTTAAGACACTGTACACATCATATATTTTTAGTGTCCAAAACTTATGACACGATTAACCTCAATTTTTACGAAAGCAATGTACAGAGTAAGTCTATTTAATCCGCACACAATACCACAATTGCGAATAATTCACAATTCAGAAAACTATTGTGATAAGGTATTTATCAACATTTCTCTGATTAGATATTGATTCCTAAAGGATTGCTAATCACTAAACAATTGTTCACACATTATAAATGTACTTAAAAGTATTGTGAAAACTAATTTAAATATATTTACATTATATTTGAAAAATAAATTCTAAGTCGAAAAACCAAATCAGTTCTATTTTTTTTTTGCCAGAAGTTGTTAGGCATAAAATAATTAGATCTTCTCTTTCTTAACGGACAACAATTAAAAAAAATAACTTGAACAACAATCTACTTTGCTTTATATAAAATTCCTTTGAAATTAATTATTAATAAAAATGTAGTTACATTATTTCATATTGGTGACGACAAAAGTGAAAACTATTAAATAGAAAAAAAATCTGATAAGCACAATATCACATTGTTTAAAAACTTTAATTTAACTTTTTTAAATCCAAAACTTAAAATAAAAGGAAATATGCTATGAAACATTTTTATAACGGATAATAATGATCTTTGGTAACTTTTGGTAGAATTGAAATAATGAAAGGAAAAAAACGTCTCACCTGCAAGTGTCGTGACGATACACAGTGCTCTGCCCAATTGAACTACTGTACGTCGGAATTCGATGCAGACTACTCGAAGGATGAATCTGTGGAGGTTTCAGGAAACCGCTTCCCCCATATCCCACTCCAAGCATGGGTGACTCTACCACAGAGCTGTCGAAGACACTCGTCTCATCTGTCTCCTCCTCTATTACTCCAGGTTTGTAAAATATTTTACCAGTTGATAGTTTTCCTTTATTTTCTTTTTGTTCATCGTCTTTACGTACTTGCATTTCGTACGTCACCTCTGTGGTCATTTTTTATTTTCTCCCCTTCACGATATGCCGCTTGCTTTTATTTTCAACGATTTCATCTCAACAACATTTAAATTTTTAACGCTATCGATAGCTGGTTTCATTTTGTATTGATTTCTTGGACCGTTGCTATATCCATGGAGTGGTTCCTGGAAAAACGGTCTTATTTTATCTATTTATCTTTACTTTTACTATTTCCTACATAGGCCCTTTCAATTAATAACATAAAACCAAGTTTAATTAAGGACTTTAAATACGTTGTTAAAACTATTATAAACGCTACAAATATTTTTATTGACATCAAATTATAACTAAGATTCAAATTCTATGAATTGAAAGTTATTTTACCTAAAACTGAACTCTAAATTAAGAAGTGGTCATATTCAAGATTCAAAAGGACACTTAGACATTTAGGTTTCTATTATATATATTATATTTTCCTGTACCGTCAAGAACGAGGAAAGTCAGCATTTTACATTGCAATTAACAGTTTCATTGATGCCAGCGGGGATCGAATCGGATACCCGTGGGATTAAAAATTTATGGTGAGTACTTAACCCCACCACCACCAGTAAGTAACCCCGGTTCTAAGATAAGATTCACCTGTTTCTAACAATTTAATTAATAGTTAACTTTATTTAATTACAAGAGAATACCTAAGAGAATAACCTAATATTTTGTACTGCTACTTTACTACTGTTTCGCATTTTGTTATAATATGAATAAATGCGAATATCATGTTGTATTATTATATAAGGCTTTATTTTTGAAAAAAAAAAGCAATATAAAGTTGTGCTTGTCGTGTCTTGTGTCGCCGAAGTGTTCTGTACATTTTTCTCATTACCGATCAATCAATCGATCAACTGCTGAACGGATTAGAAATTTAGAACAGAGCTAGAATATATCATTGAAGCTACCTTTCTTGTTTCATCAAATAAGGTTTCAATTTACGCGTCTACCTTACCTGCAAATTTAAAACCACAAGAAAAGCAAATAAATACTTTGTCATAAATACTTAATCATGAATGGATGTAACACCTCGATTTACTATTTAATTTAATTTTAGCTTTCTGTAAATTATATTATTATATTTTAAATTAAGATATTAATTTTTAGTCTGAAAATAAGAATTTATAACTGACAGAGCTATCTAGCGTCAAATAGACTGTTCAGATATGAAAAAAAAAACTTTTCAATTTATTAATGTAAATTAAACTGAGAGGTGTATGAAAAATATTTTTAAGATTTTAAAAACCCTTTAAAGAAATATCAAGTTTTAATTCTACTAAACTTAAATATTCTGAGTTTCTGTTTAAACATGTTTTCAAATAGTGTGGTTTAAATGATATAGAACCAGACTCAAATATCATATAAAGTACCAAATCGTCTAATTTGTATTCTTTCTATTAGGTAGCATTTACATAACTTCTTTAAATATGAAGATCTAGCGGAAGATCTAGCTCATCAAATAGGCATACCTCTGAAGATGATGCTGTTGCTCGTGAAACATCATCATTTTAATTTTGGATTAGAATAAACATGTTTTTTAATATTATTTTAAATATACATAATTTCAAATCACTTATATACTAATAAAATATAAGGTATTAATTATGGTTTGAATGACAACGAAAATAAAGTGGCAAAAAGAAATGGGGAAAGGGAAGGTTATGGAGAATGGTAGCGCAGTGTTGGGCAACCACCCTCTAGATGCACATAATGCATCATGGATAATGCAACATGCAGGTATCTCATGGTTGTAATTTGTGCCAATTTATGGGAAAAACTGGTCACAAAGCTTGAAAAACTAAAAACCGACGCGGAAGAAATGGTCTCGAGTGACAAGCGCATTGTTGGCCGACCCCTCACTTCATGAAACACGGGCAGTCGATTGATGCTGGGTTATAAGCTAATGGAAGATATTTTTAAATAAATTAAAAATATAAATGAAAAAATTATCCAGTAAAGGAGGACTATCTCATATAAAACAAGGCAGTGACAAGATGAATAAGTGTCCAGTTGTAAGCTGTAAATTATAGTTCAAAAACCTTCCAGAACGGCGCTAGCGTAGATACCTACAAGTTATGGTATGAATATAGCAGTTGTAGATGGAATGAAGCGTGCGGAGTTAAAAAAATTAATATCTTTTGGTGACTAGAGTAGTTAGTTACAGCACAGTATCCAAAACTCCAACTATTCACGTAATTCAAAAATATTTTTTAAATATAACCTAAAATAACTACTGTGATAAAACGTGAAAATTGATTATATTTTAGTGAATTTCCTACTGTTATAAAACTAATTAAAATAGTAAAATTATTATTATAAAAATGTTTTTAAAATTTACCCTGCTGCTAATGTAGCGCCAGCCCTATTTAACGCATTTCGACGGACATGTTTAGTCCAAATTTTAGTTAAAGAGATAGTCCTCCTAACCTCTATCCTCCATAGTAACGCAGCGCCACCTATCCGAAATTGACACAATAACCTTTTCAACTATACTTGAAAGGGAACCGCCGCACCACTTATTGTTAAAAGCCCATTTTTCTTGACTATTGCTATCATCGAGCGTCGTCCCGGTGTTCTGACACGACACGTCCTTGCAGTCATTAGGATGTGCTCGATCTTTATACATAACAACGACACACGGATGTCTTTATTTCCTCCCACTGGAATCATAACGACATATCGCGGAAACCTCGCGGAGAACTTCATTCTTATCCACATTTGTGGAAAGGAAGCCGCTGGTCATTATTAAGCATTATCATACTTTACCTAGCATGGTTTCCTAGAAGATGCGTACAAATGTCAGATTATTTGTCCTAATAAGTTTCCATCCATTCTATTACAGCCTATGAAAGTTCACTGCCGAAGATTATACGTGGTAGAGCCATGCTGCAGTTATATTAGTAGTACAGTTGTAGCACGAATGGGTCGGCTCAACCGGGGAAGGACCACGCTCTCACAGAATACCAGCGTGAAATAGTAGCTTAATGCTGCTGTATTTTGTATGGTGAGTGTACCGGAGACCCTTTTTTCTAGAAACGAGGCATTCCATCTTAGTCCTCACGGGTGACAACGCATCTGCATTTTGATTCGTAATCGAGGATAGATGTAGATGTCTATGGGCCACAGCAACCACTTACGACATCAGGTGGACTGTGTGCTCGTTTGTCACCCTATCCTATAAAAAAAAAATTATGCATCTCCCATAGATTGCCTCATCTCCCATAGATAGCCTGCCAAGCGTGGCCATCGTTGCCACGCTTGGCAGGCGGGATGTTAACCTTAGTTTTTACCTGGCCTTACTGGCCTCTAACAACCCCCATGGGACGATATGGGTTAACAAACAATCTTACACCGCCACTTATATATATTTTTTGTACAGTGTAAACTCCATGTAACGTCACTCGATTTAACGATTGTCTTCCATACAATGATATACTCTATATAGCATTACACCCACTCTCAATAACGATAGTAATTAAATAAAAAAAGTACTATTAAGTTGGAAAAATTAGTAAAAACGTAATAAACTAGATTGTTGTCATCATACATACCAAACTCTCTAAGAAATCCGTTGTTTTGTTAACAAATTGGGATTGCTTGCACGTGTGAAATGTGCAGGACTGTTGTTAGTAAGTGTCATGGATTATCTATATAGTAGACTTTTAAACCGTAAACATGGCGAGTAAGAGAAAATCACTGTGCAGTTAGATATATAATATATACAACAAATTTTCTTTTTCTTGACCCTTAACCTTGATCCTTGATCACAAGGTTCACCTTATTTCACCATATCTTAATATGCGGGCGTGAATGATTAAAGTGACACATACGTATAAACAACTTCAGGGAATAAGAATATACTTATCAGGTATTTAAATGAGTTTTGCAACTGACATTATATTCTACTGTCACTAGAACACACTCACACCTATGTCTGCAAGACGTATCTATCTACCTTCTAGGCTTATTAGCGAAGGCCAATCTCAATTACCGTGTCTCTGCAGCAATTAATAATGACATTGTCACCGTACGCTCATAAACTCATTCGTAAATATTAAAAACGTAATATAAAATATCTTTGCTGTTTCTAAGGTTTAATTACGTAAGTTTTCTCCATTATTATATAATTACCATTGAAATAGCTAACGTCTGTCTTCATCTTTCATCTTTTTTTACACACTTAAGGGTGACAAACGAGCTCACAAACCTGAAAGTAGTTCGTTTATATATAGTAACTTATTATACCTTAATAAAAAGGATTAAAAAGGGCGCAACTCATGCCTTTTGGCATTCTCTTTCAGTTAACTCGGGAGGTTTGTAAATAATGTGGATAAGTGCCAAAAATAAAAAGAACATTGTAAACCAGAAAAGTACTAGCTATATATATATATATATATATATATATATATATATATATATATATATAGCTAGTACTTTTGGTTTCGGCACTGAACTACGACGTAACAAGGACGAAATATCTTGACGTATAGCCTCCAAATCTTCCTTACCAATATTATTTTTAAACAGACAATCCTCAACGCTGCAGATAATTTCTTCGTATGGGATTTTTCGCGGTGTTAATGCGAAATTCCCTTCGCTAACACCTTTATTGTTGGTTCGTCAACGTGGTTGTCGTCGTCGTCGTGGTTGGTAAAGGTACCGATATTTAAATGGTGAATCTCACCATCATCCTTCGCAGTTAGCTACCGTGGGTACCGAACTTCAGCACGTCAAGCAAGTATTGCAAGACAACAAGCTTCGGGTCCCGCGCCTACGTCACAGTGACCGAGTGAAGCCGGCCACAGTCGAGCGTGTACCTGCTGTACTACCATATGTCAGAGGAGTCACAGACAAGGTTGGCTACATCTTGAAGCGAGCTTCCATTAAAACATACTACAAGCCGCCAAAGAAGATTAGTCAATTTTTACCATCCGTCAAGTGTAATATCCCTCTACAAGATGCAGGAGTGTACAAGTTGAAGATTGTGAATGTGG